AAAGGTCTGTCACAGCCAAAAAATACACTCCAGACACGCCGCTGGCACTAGAGGCATATATATATATATATATATATATATATCGTCACAAACAAAACTGCCCGGTAAACCGTAGGCAGAGAGAGAGAAGAGGACAACAATATAGTGTGTGCCTATGTTGGGAGTTCGCATGGCCCAAAAGGCCAGCGTATTAAGGGTTAAATAGGGGTGAGGTAGGCAGAAAACCCCTTCCTCTCGATTGTATACTTTTTCTGATTTCTTGATCGGACGTTGGTCATGGGTCGGGATTCAAGGTCCTTGTCCAGGGCACCCCAAGCCCTAGGCTCTGCAGAGAAGGAGCCTTCCCTCGCGCAGAGCCTATCTGCCCTGCCCGCCGAGACACCCAACCCAGAGGGCAGAGATGTCGTGAAGGCTGAACGGCATGTCCTTCAGCCATTCAATATCGTGAGGGGTAAAACCCTCACGATATATTCCTTCAGCCATTCAATATCGCAAGGCCGAGACTGCGATCACCGCGTATGACTAGCATCGCTGGTTGGTATAGGACAGACCTGCAACCGCGCAACTTTATATCAAAGTCGTGCGCGCGACGTTTCGCCGTCCTAGTGACTACAGTTATGGGATCAATGGATTCATATGCATGCCTAAGTGTTCGGTAGTGGTGTAGGCCGTGTTGTCGACCAAGAGAAAAACGGGGGTACCCAAGTTGTAATTTCGGGGCGGGGAGGCATCGGCCTACACTTAGCTTTTTAAGACTTATCATGGTTGGACGTTATAATCCGTGGCAGCCGTCAAAGTCAAACCCCTTGACTTCTGTCCAGGCCTGGAGTGGGGCTCATCTCCAGGGCAGTAAGAAACGACTGCCACCACAGGTGGGGACCTGTGTACCACCCACTCTGCACAGGGTACAGAAGAGGGTGTGTGGTCTTCAACCGCGCATGGCGGTTGTCTAGCGCCGAGAGATTAACCCCTCGAGGCGCTTGTCAGCCGACACTTGAGTCTCGAAGGTGACCCTCGATTATTACCCAGGGCCCCATGATTATGGGTAATACATAGTACACCATCTTCGCGACTGCTTGCGTACGTTGACATTGCAAATCGATATGATAAGGCCCTGCGTCCGCGCGGGTTTATACCGAGTCTCGCGCGTGACGCCTAACCGATTTCCGCGTCAGAAAGTTATGGGAAGGCTACCGAGGGACTAGGAGCGTTGTCGCGTTGGTTATGTTGTGTCGTTTCGTGTGTACGTCGTGTGGGTGTGTTATCTTTATGTTCCTTATAGTGGTGTGCGCGTGGCGTGTGGGATACGTCCTAGTTGACCGGCGACGAGTCGCGCTTGGGACTTCAGACCCCCAAGATGTCGGTTCGTGTGCGGGTCCGATAGAGGCGTACTACTGCGCATACCCCCTATGCTACAGCGAACGAGAAACGCCCTCGGCTGGTCCACCTCTGCCATTGCAACTGATCAACTTTCGTACTGTGGACTGGTAGCTCGGCGGGGATACACCCACTGAAGGGAGGTGAAAACTCCCATAAGGTGGAGGTAAGTCGTGCCTCGCGTAGGCCCTATCCTGTCGTAGGGGCTCGTGAGAGGTATGGCTGGCACACTCGGTCGGAGCCGCTTGCGGAAGCTCCATGTATATATTCGCGACGAGGATTAATTCCAACTCCTGCGTGACGCGGCCGGGAGGGTCCCGCGCTACCCCTGAGTAGTGCCGGACCGATGCGCTCGACACCGGGGACGGTCAACCTCAGGCTAGCCCATCGGTACAGCCAATAGCGCCCTCCCCGATCTGCCCATTTCCAAGACATGATGGCCCAGAGTTGCAGCTGATCACCAAGAATTCCGATTGATGGCGAAACTCGGCCGGCCCAGATTTGCAGCCGATCACAAAAGAACAAGATCCGCCAACAATCTGAACAGTGTTTGCGAATGACCCAGATCTGTGGCCGCTTTAATTTTCGTGATCAGCCGTGACTCTGCGCCGTTGGTGTGCACGAATGCCAACAGCCCAGATGCGGCCCTTCTATTGATCAGTGAATTGTGGACACATATGCATAAAAAATGGTCTTCGGGCCAGCAGACACATGAGAACTGTTCAAGGCGGTGTCTTGAGATCTAGCTCACTGCCAGAGAGCCTGAATGATTCAGCTCTAATAAAGTAGGCAATGTGGTTAAAAACAAGAAACTAGTTTTTGGAGTCTGTAGATCTCAATCCAAGAGTCTAACAAATTGAATACCACATATATGAAGTGTGAAGAATGTGTCCTCAAGGGGCCTGGGCCCAGGTAATTCCGAATTACTTTACTTTGTTCATCTGATTGCCATTGGGTTCGAACTTGGGTCTGCATTTCAACAGTTCGTGGGTGTACCGACTGAGCTAGGCTCGTCGGTTGAGAGAGAGAGAGAGAGAGAGAGAGAGAGAGAGAGAGAGAGAGAGAGAGAGAGAGAGAGAGAGAGAGAGAGAGAGAGAAGCAAACCTTCCGTGGCCATGGACACTAAAATGCCTTATGCCCTCGCTTCCAGGTGATGACTTGTATTCGTTGTAAACCCCATCATCGTCGAAAACGACAGTCGTGAACGGGTGCTGCTGCAGTGGTACTGATGTGATGAGATTGATGAACATGTGGAATCCTTCAGGCAGGCTGCATATTTTGTCGACTGGTGGTGATGCAAAGTACTCCCCTGAACAAATAAGGTGCTCCTCATAGAGTTTGATAAGACCCTCTGCCACCCACCAAGCAAAATACCACCAGCAACAACCAGTGACTTCTTCATTCTTTTCTGTATCCGACTGATTCCGACATGATTTGAACTCATAATCGGTTTATGATCTGTTTATCAACAGTTACATGCAAGTACCATTCAGCCAACCAGCAGTGACTACTTCATTCTTCGTCAAATCTTTGACGATTTACGTAAAAATTTACACTCTTTTCGCGACAGCATAGAATTCAAGTAGCACACAAAGAGCATGGGGTTCTTTCTACAGAACATAGACGAAACTCGAGACAAACAATAACCTCAACGTCAAACAGACTGTTTGTTGGTCATTCCCTCACAGATGTTGCTGTGACCCGAATAGAACGCCCGGTCACTATAGCCGTATATGGTGCAAGTTTCAGTCTAGGTGCCGCGATATTGACCAGGCGTTGTATTCGGGTGAAGATGGTAGCTGGTTTTGCTGCAACACCGGCCATGTTTGACAAATCCACTGCTGCCAAAGCTTGGCATGACATTTTCAGATACTACAAACAGACTACAAGACCAGCATAGTGGATCAGTGTGGCTTTGTCCGCAAAGCAAAAAGAGTTTCAGAAAAGCTTGAGAAAGAGAGAGAGAGGCATTGAGAGGGGATGTATTATTGCTCTGGATGCATATCTTTTTTTCGGGGGAGAGATGAGGAGACATGTGGCTGAGGACAGTCCAATTACAAAAGACAGGAACAGCTCCCGGCCTAGGCATCCGATGCCCAGCACAGTTAACCACCATGCTGCATGTATAAAAAACGAGCAGCGGGGCCTGGTAAGCAGCACCAGGGGAGAGCAAGAGAGTGTCTGTGTATGTGTGTTTTAGATTTTCCCCACAACAGCTCCAATTCCAACCAGGTGAATAGATTCAGAATCAAAGCAGTCTTTGTCCTGTTGCAGACAACGAGAGCATTTGAGATGTCCAACATATTAAAGCAATTTTATAATTAGACAGTTTTTTGGCTGTCCTTGGGGTACCCCTTTCATTGTTCGTGCAGCTCCCCTTTTACTGTGCCTCTTACGCACAAGGCTGCCCACGTTGATTGTGGTTGAGCGGCAGCTGCCCACATTCCCGTGTGCCTTCACGGCCCACTTGCACGTTATTTCAGGAGGCACTGAGGCAGAGTAAAAGGGAAGGTATGCTCCTGTGCATCTCTTCAGGGCTTCATACTCCTGTAACATGTTCATTTCACTTCAGATCTTCAGCTTATACAGCCTTTGTGTCCGTCCTTCATCTTCATACTTCCGTTCATTTCATTTCTGATCTTCATAATGATGCTCATTCGTATGTATTTGTTAGTAGTACAAAGGGAGTGGAGGGGAGGGTGGAGGGTAAGGGATAGAAGGCGGAGTTCTCTAGGAGTATGGGGCAGGGGAGGTAGGGGCAACGGGAAGGAAAGAAATATGTGGAGGGCAGGATAGAGTATGACATGCAAAGAGCAGGGGAAAGGTATATGACGGGTTTCAAAGATTTCTAAATATTCACCGTAGAAGGAAAAAAAACAACCACTAACTATGGCGAGTGGCCACTCCTACAGACCGGACAGGACCGGTTCGGGTGGGCTATGGAAGCACCGCATCCAATTTTTGCAGTCACAGTTGCTGCATCGAATGGCACGGCGCAGACAGATGTCACAGGCTACGTGGCTCGTACATACTAGGAACACAGAGGCACGTCGACCGCAATAATAGAGGCATTGCCGTTCCAGCCCCTGTCTACAAATTGGACATGACATGTCGGGGTGTCGTACATGAGTACAGTACTGACTGTCGTCGTACGTATGGAAGCAAAAACTCGCATGGACTATACCTTCATAATCCTCACGGCACAAGGCATGTGAACCACATGCTAGTTGAATCTCCGGCGGGTCATCACAAAACGGCATGGAGCATCTTTCTTAGGCTTCCTCAGTCTGTATTCCTTCTCTATGGGCAGACGACGACATGGAGGATCGGTCCAACGCAAGGGCATTCAGCTGCTGCAGGATATGATCCGCAACAGCTCGCCCTGGTGGTGATAAACTATGAGCACATCGCTCTGCCGGTGGTTCATATAGAAGTCTATTTTCCTCCTAGGACTGCTGTGTTCGTCGTTCGTCTGGCAAGAAAGAGGGAGATCCGTCAGCGGTTGCCATAGGTGTATGACCAATACCGCATGTAGGACATGCTAGGAGAGGATGTTGAGGGTGATGGCACCGGGGATAGTCCACGCAGTAAAGACACATACTTTCTGGAAGCATTGATGACACATGGCATGTTGCTGACATGTCATTAGTATGGAAGGCTGACGTGCACAGTTATTTAAGCATGGCAGATCAAGGCCACAACGGCATGCTGGGCAAGTAATCAGGGGGTGGGGGGGATGAGCACAGGACTGGGGATCACAATTTTCGTGTGAGAGGCTAGCATCGACCATCCCTTCATAGTGTTCAGAGCAGAGGCTATGTCGTGTACATGGCAACTGAACTGTACCTGTGCGATGACACAACGGGATGGCACAGCCATCATCCTGTGGAGAGGTCCTTTCACTGTTTGTGGTAGAATCAGCCGGATTGCTCTCCGGGGGGTGCAGTGCTTGCTAATGCTCATCCACATACTGGTCCTGATGGATGAGCCAGACTGAGTGACCCTCCAGCATTTGGTGACAGAAAGAGTTAATATTTCCCACTGTGAGCACCCTACCGCCATTGTCCCATAGGGTCCATGAAATATCTGCAAAGGTAAGAGCACTGAAATGACCTGGACGATATAAGATACATGCCCGAATATTCGGATCCGTGCCTGGCTCGTGGTTTTGCGGAGCAGGCTGGAATTGCAGTCACCTACCCATAAATGCCATAGCCAGGACTTCTATGTTCACCCCAGGCACAGCACTGTCGTCGTCTGGGCAGTGCTCTTCTTCTATCCAGCGAACGACGTCTGCGAAATCAGCAACAGTATAAGGATTACAGTTGTAACCAAGGAGACATACATTAATGGCATAGTACGCACAGCGCCCTCACTGTGGCGCTATGACATTTGAAACGTTTTTCACCTTTTGCAGACACAGATGCAGATCCCAGGGCCCGATCCCCAGACCTCACCTTACCTTACCTTACCCGTGTACAGTATCGGGAGTTGACCCCTGAGCGTTTGAACCCACGACCTGTGTTTTGGTAGTTGGCTGTTGTCTGTCGTAGGTCTAGGTAGTTGTAGGGGTTCGATCTGTAGGTCTGTCGGGTAGGGTCATAACTGTGTAGAGGCCCTAGCTGTAGCGTTTCTGAAAGGTCAAGGCCATAGCTGCTACAGTCCTGAAAGGTCAAGGTCGTAGCTGCTACAGTCCCGAAAGGCCAAGTCCACAGACTTCCGGAAGGTCCGGAAGTGGCCTTTCGAGAGTTCCCCACGTTTAGTCAGAGGCGAGTGGGCAACTTTGCTTAGTCCGTGGTACCCAGTCCCAGTCTCACTTTGCACAGTCAGCAAGTACCATGAGGGACTGTGTGCACCATGGGCCCGGTGGAAAAGGGCAGACCAACGACTTACAGAAGTATAAATCAAGAGGCCGCGCCCAGCCATTCATTCATTCGCTGCGTAAGCCATGCAGAAGCGCTGTCACAGCGTCTTGTGCGAGGTGGTCTGCAGGTCGCCCAAAGTCGAAGTGGGCTGGAAGGAGATAGATTAGCCATAGTAGTAGTAGCGAGCGGCCATAGCCGCCATAGGTTAGAGATAGCTGTTAGTGTGTATGGATGAGTGATACAGAGTGAGTGTGTGGGGGGTATTCAGGGAGACCCAGAGTGGAGTGTGTTCGGACAGGGATGCTGGACACAGTATCGAAAGTTGGGATGTACAGGCGCTAAGGCGCCATAGCCTGTTGAAGCGAGTTTGCATATGAACTGTGTTCTCGGGCTTCATATCTCTGAGCTTTGAGTGGGCGCTTGGCGCCAGAGTGGATTACCATCTGTTTGCATGTAGGCGAAGTGGAAAAGAGAGTGAGTCTGATTGCATTGGTATCAGAGCTGGTTCCCGTTACTCCACACGCCATCGCCGTTGTTGACAGTTGGGCGCCATAGCTGAAGCTGCGCCATCGAAGAAGGAGGTCCGCCATAGCTG